ATTATAAAAAAAAAAATACTTCAGTTCGTCTTAAATAATTATACGCTACGAAGTGACCACTGAATCTTATCTACTTAATAAGATTGTTATTTATTTTATTAGTGCGTTGGTAATATTGGGATAACCCATTCACGAAATCATTTACTTATCTTTATTTCAAATAAATCGTGGAAACAGGCTCATAAATTATCTATTTCATTTTATCGCTAAGCATCAGATTTTGGCCTATGTTTATTATTCTGATAAAATAGACTTGTGTTCATCACACGATTTTAAAAAACTATTTAAAACAATCAAACGACTCGAGTTGTGCCACTTTTGGCGGGAAACAAAGTGATGTCCCACGACTATCGGTTTTTCTGTTTTTTTAGTTTCCATACTATAATGCTCACACGTGTGGGAGAGCCAAGCTTCAGCATGAATAGGCCAACTCGATCGGAGTAATACTGGCGTGAAGCAACAATTTCGTTATGAATGAGGTTACCGGAGGCCCAATCCCTGCTCCACCCCTATCCTTTCCCCGTAACCCGTTTGCTTATTTGCTGACCTATACCATAAAAATATATGGATATCTTATACACAATTTGAATAAACTAGTTAACGAAAAAAAAACAATCCTTACATCTAAAACTAAAGCGTGACTAACAATATTCATTGAGAAAACATGTGTCTTCAAGGTACACATCGTTTAAAATCAAATTAACATAATCTTTTAGCAAATACAAATTTTCATACAATGTCCAAAAAGATCAGGTTCCACCGAGATTTGAACTCGGATCGCTGGATTCAGAGTCCAGAGTGCTAACCGTTACACCATGGAACCGATGAGAGACTTGCCGAAATTAAACACTGGTATCAACTACTTTCACCAATTGCTAATTTCGTCTGAATGTGTAGCCCTGACCTAGATTATTGTCTAGAAAAAAAATGTATGGATCCGCAAGATTTTATTTTTAGAAGAGAATGTATGGAAATGTTTTATGTGTGTTTGTTTTTCTGAGTGTATGACGTAGGTGTCAAAAATAATATGAAATTGAAAGAAATATACTTGAACACGTTTTTTCTTAATTAAATATAATCAAGATGTTGGTTTGGACGCAAAAAACTAATTTTGTGTTTGTTAAAAAAAAAAATATTAAAATTAAATTAACAAAAAACTAAATATTTAGAAAAACATTTTTTTTTTCATTAAATGATATTAAGAACTTATAAAAAAATAATATATGTACCAAAGTACATTGATGAAATAAATTAAAATACCTAGTATATTTCATATTTAAATTTTTTTCAACGTATTATTAGTAAGTATAAGTTTACTTTCAAATAAAAACCTTCTCGTTAAGAATTAAACTGAAAATATTAAATTCCGAAACATGTCAAATTATTGAAACTATCATAAACTTCGAGGTTTCATCTATTGAATTAGTTATATTGAATCTCTATGGATCTTTTTGACAACCACCTGTCAAAGTTATGGGAAGTAATTGTCAGTTTCAAAGATCAAGTAAGTATAAGTTTTAACGTATTTTACGTATTTTTTTGGATAATAAGGGTTCCGTTCCTAACAAAATTCTTCATAATTCACTTTTAGGGTACCGTAGTAAACTAGGAATCCTTATATTTTCGCATGTCTGTCTGTCTGTCCGTCCGCGGATAATCTTAGTCACCATTGACATAAGAAAGCTGAAATTTGGCACCAATGCAATGTTATTATAAGTAAAAAGGTGTAGATAGGTTACAAACGCTCAGCAAGTGATACATTAAAATGTGGCTAACTAGCCACACTTTTTTCATATTTTGTCTCTTTTTCACTCGTGATTATTGAGTCATGGCATGAGATGCCGTGCTTTGACAGACGTCAAAGCACGGCATTATGTAGACACATACGAATTGTTTATGTGTGTATCAGTGTGTCGTTTTTGAAAATCGAATTTTGGTTAGGCAACCTATCTACACCATTTTACATTTTACCCATAATATCATTTAATATCATTGCACCAATGTGTATCAAATCAATCGCGCTGCTAAAAATATAAAGTGTTTTCTTTTTTACTACAAGCTAAAGTCGTACCCTTATGAGGAAACGAATTTTTACCATTCTAGTTCTCTATCTTTGTATATATTAGTAACACAAATCCCTAAGAGATGGCGCTGTATATGTATTCTCGCTGAATTACGAAATTTACAATAACCCTTAAGTTGGGACACTTACTGTGACTAATGGGAAACTACGGGACCCTACAAGGTACGATGTGCCTACTGATAAGCCGGAATACATCTTCTCGTACGGAGAAGGTATGACCATTGGGTAACTAACACGCTTGCTCGAGGTGGACAGGCAATTTCGAACTTAGAATTTATAATTCCAGGTTTCATCACAATATTTTGCGATGTCTAAATAACCTAAAAAAGTGGAATATAACTTTGAAATGGTTACAATTGGTATTTGTCACGTTTCTAACACGCATAAGAAGCTGGTATTTTAGCGTCCGAGCTATAAAGATTCTAAGGTACCTACGATTTGTCATGTCATGGCATTTATTTTTATTCTGGATATTCCGAGGCTTTATCGTGATGAGGGCTAGTTGCCACAGCTGAAAAACTAGTCATAGTTATAGAACCAAATTACATTGCCTTATAATTGACAGATTACATAAAATCTACAGTTACGTGTTGTTTAGTTTAGCTAACTAAACACAATAACAACACTAGGTTTTCCCAAAATACTGATAATGATTATCTAGACGTAGAAGTACTTACATCGTTTGGGAAAACACAACTTCTGAACTTCGATCAGTGTAATAAAATTACCAATTATACGAATCTTAATTAGATAAAAATCTAAAGTCAAATCATTTATTTCTTATAGATATATAATAGGTACTTTTAAACAATACTTAAACAAAAAAAAAATATCAAAAAGTTCAACTTTGTGTGTCTGTCAGTGTGTCAAGTGAGAAAATTTTCCCACTAACTTTTAATTTCAAAGACATTTTAGAGATAACACATTCAAGATATGAGTAGACATAAAATTACATCTTTCAGAATTAACATCAATCCTGAAAAAAAGTACCGACTGCACGGCTGGCGCGGTGGCTGGGCAACTGGCTACAGCGCAACGTGTCGCGGGTTCGATTACCGCACGGAACAACTCTTTGCGTGATCCACAAATTGTTGTTGCGGGTCTGGGTGTGATGTGCATGTGAAGTTGTATGTTTGTAAAAGCAGCCACGACACAGGAGAAAATCCTAGTGTGGGGCAACATTTTTTTTAAAAGAAAGAAAAAGAAATGTTAATTAGCCAATAGTATTGAACACTATAATACTGCACAATTTTAATGCCTCAAGCCAGCTTGTATATAAAAACTTAACCCTAAAAACGCACGTCGGTCTTCCATGCCACAAGACACAGATATGTCAGTTATAAAGTTACAGGGAAGTGGCGAAGCGGGCCGAAGCGTTTATCCCTCATTGTAACTCTATAAGATATTTATTGGCGGGTAACATTCGAAAATGGAATGGCTCCTTGGAGTAACCGACGGTTGTAACGGCCATACTGTCCGCCATTTTACATTTTTATTTTGTCAATAGTTAATGTGATGTGAGGGTTGGTGGATGCACATGGGATGTGGTTATTGAAGATATTTTTACTACCTATCTTAAGATGATTTAGAAATACTCAAGGTGGAAAATAATAAGTTTTTATGTAGTTCTATACAAATATTTACTTGGTACGCGTTTGGCTTCGTGTAACCTAAACTGTATTGTTACCGTCTAACTATTGCGTTGTGTTTCGACGTATGTGTGGGTTATAAAAGGCCCAATTCCACAGAAACTAGCTTAAAAACTATTATGTAATGACTATAACCAGTTTTACAATTATGCGAAAAAACAAATTAGTTTAGTACCATTAAGAGCCTCAGGCGTTGAATTATCTTGTTAATTTAAACACGTCTTTATTATTCTATGTCCATTGATGTTGTTCTAAGAACTATAAAATGGCATATCAAGAAAAAATTGGGCTTCACGCAACAACGTAACGATTATTATGTTTATGAACTCGAACCTTTATACCTACATATGTATAAATGTCATGCGATCATGACTTTTATAATAACTAATGTACTTCAGCTCTGTTCGAAGCAGGAGAAGGAACGGAGTGGTATTAAGTCAAAAAGAGCCTGGCATTCCCTCTCGCCGCTCCCTGGACGGAAGAAGGCATTGGATGATTTTCCTATAAAACAACCTATATTCAGAAATGTTTTAAATCGAACTGCACTCTCTTCAAAAGAAGAATTTCGAAATTTGAATACTTTTCTTTTAACTGCACCTTTATTGAGGGGTAATATGACTTCTCTAGCCCATGGTTAGGCAAGAGGGAGCATCAGACTCTTACTGACATAATTCTTCTGTTTACACCTAATTCCAGTCTGCGACATTTTTTCCAACAATAGCATTTTAAACTAACTTCTTAAAAAATTCTTCGTTTTATCTTAAGACGAATCCTGCGACCCTGATCTAACTATACACCGGTATCGCGACGTCCACAGGCATACATTTGCAGAGTCGCTTAGCGACCGCTATAAAATATTGTTTTTTACCAATATTCCGACCGGGACTACATCTACAAACTGAATAGGCCAGGAGCTCGATACACAGTTTTCATGTACATATCTTTTATCAGTTTCACCTCTGCAATTCTATTGGTCGCAGGGTGATGTTTTATGACCTAGTCTTCCTTGGAAAATGGACTATCCAACACAAAAATAAATATCCAATTCGATCCAGTAGTTCCAGGGATAAGCGCGTATAAGCAAATGAACAATGAAACAAACTGTATAAATATAGATAATGTCTTTGAAAACCTTTCAACAACATATACTGCTGGTCATAGGGATCTCTCTTGTAGCTCACCGCTGAGCTGGATTTCCTTCACATCCAATTACTGGCAGTCACTCCACCTAACTGGAAGATGCAGAGTAAACATATAAAGCTTAGAACCTTCTTCAAAACTTCATGCCGACATGCCTAGACCCACTTTAACGGTCATCGATTATCCAAGAAATTTGATTGGCCCACTGCCGCTATTTAAAAGCTATACCGTGATAACAGGGTGCCATATTATTAGGAGTTGCACAAATTATTAGCCATAGTAAAAAAGAGCCTCCTTTTTGGCACAGTATAGTAGTGAAAATTGAACACAAGTTATGGTTGTCGGCAAAATAAAAACCCCACAAACATTATTACATGAATTTACTTAAAAAAAATAACAATAATAACATTAATAGATGCCTCTTTAAGTGACCATGAGCTTCAAAAACCGAAAGTATACGTGATATTTAGGTAATAACTTGTTTTCTGCGTCTTTTCTTTTTTCTTATGTGATAGCTTGGCAAACGAGCAGACGGATTACCTGATGGTAAGCAATTAGGTCGCAAACAATGGGCACTCGCAACAACAGAGGAGCTACGAGTGCGTTGCCGACCTTTTGGGGATTAGGGATTTGGTAGATTTAGGGATTGGGGAGCGATTTGGGGAGGGGAAGGATTGGGGCTCCGGTAACCTCACTCACATGACAAAACACAACGCTGTGGAGCATGGTTCTCCCACACTTATTTATACTTTACGGCATTTTAATATAGAGATCTGTATCTAAGCAACTAATATTCTGCATATAACATCTAATGGCATTTCAAAGACGATAAGATGAGACTGCTAAAAATATTATGGAAAAAAATAATAACGGCACAAAAAATAAAGCTGGCTCCTGAACTAAACCCAAGTAGAGGTGGCAATATGAAATATGAAAACGTGGACCATCGCAACCGAAGCCACGGGGCGCTCATATATTGATTGACGTATTTGAATATTTTATGACAACCCATTTCTTTTTGGGCGCTAGGCAGTGACATGTAGCCGTCGAGAAACTTAGCCAGATGTAGGTCATTATGATTTTTTTATTTTAAGCCGTTTTTGGCACGTGTATATTTAAATACTTACTGTTTTATGAAGTCTTGACATGCATTTTTTTATTATTACTTTATGGTAAGCAATCGGCGCCGCCCATGGACACCCGCAACACCAATGAAGTTACAAGTTCGATGCCGGCCTGTTATAGATAAGGGTTTTGAATATTTTCGGATGTGCGGAGGAATGGGGGAAGGGGGAGGGATTGGACCTCCGTTAACCTCACTCACACGGCGAAACACAACGCTGTGGCTGTGTCACGCCTGTCTTCTGTGAGGTTGTGGTACCACTCCGGTCGAGCCGGTGCATTCGTGCTAAAGCTTGGCTTTTCGACTCTTCGTGAATTGTTATTAATTTCCATAATAGTCATAATAGTCTATATTTTTTCTATTTTCTTTCAAATCTGTAGCATTAAGGTTTATACCAGACTAGCCGACTAGACTTTAGTCCCACCCCGGGCGGGAAAAGGCACTGGACGATTTTCTCCTCTAAAAGAAAAAACAAGAAAATTGTGCACCAATTATATTTTTTTTGGTAGTAACAATCTGCTACCTCATTTTAACCTAACTCAAATAGTCTTTGCATTAAATTACTTTGAAAAATAAAGGCCTATTTTATTGCTAGAAAATCGACACCAATCCACAAATCCTTCTCAAATAATTTTTATATATTTGTCACGTAATATTTGTACGTCCGTTCTTTAAAGCCGAGTAGTCAAACATATTGTTTATCGCCAGCTCAGTAACAAGCAAGAAACGAACAAACACATAATTAACCAACAAAATAATTACCACTATGACGTCACTTGAAAACTATTTATTCAAGTGTCAAAAACTATTCAGCATACATTACCGTTTTAAAACGCAAAGACAATTTAACAGACTCAACTGAACCTGTAATGTATCTGTTATGTGGAATACAATATTATAGTTTCTATGGTTTTTCCGAAATACATGTAAAACAAGAGCATGTATAATGTTTTCATTTGAATGATAAAGGATGTTTTGTGTCAGGTTTTCAGTCTTGTGTCTCGAATCAGTAGGAGTTTAAAAATTCACAAATTTGTTATAGTACCTATGCTTATACGAAAGACAGGCGTGAATATTATTTGAATATTTGTTATGGTAAGAGTTTGAATGACTAAATTTTGTTTAGAAATCGGAAAACATTAGCGGAGTAGGTACCTATATAATATTAGTTATGTAAGTATGAGCTCTGTGGCGTGCAATTGGGGAGGCCTATGTCCAGCAGTGGATGACAACAGGTTGATGATGAAAGTATAGGTAAGTATAGGTAAGTATAGGTAAGTAGTATTGGTAATTATGTAATAAGAAGAATTCAGGAACATAATGATGAATGATTTTCAAAAATCAGAAAACTAATTAACAACAAAAAATTGCTTAAGAAAAAAAAATGCATCATGAGTCGTATTTGCCAAATTAGGTATACCAAGTCTCATTCCTTATTACAGCCTTTAGCGTAACCCAAAATAATTTCCTTGTACACCAAGAATTAATAAAAGAAAACAATTTACTACCGAGACACTCACTAATTTCGGTGACGCAAAAAAGGACGAAAAAAAAACAGACATTTTTCTAACAAATCAGTCACCAGCTTGACATCTCGAAACGGTTGTCATTCTGACAAGTATTTACGACAAAAGGGCTCGAGAAAAAAAGTTCGCCAACTACTTTTCATTTGAAATGTAATCTAAACGACAAACAACAAATGAGGTTTGAACCTGACTGCGTTTCCACCTCGTTTTGCTACGTCCATTTTTTTTCTTGTAGTTTTTCGTTTTTTTTTTCTTGTTCGGTTTGTATATAGAACGTGTTTCTTTTTTTTGGTTTTTAAATTGTTTGCTTGGATTTGTAAAAATGTTACTTGCCAACTTTATATCAGATAAATTTGAATTAAGAATGTAATTTGTTTGTACTATTTTTTAAATAAGTAACCTACTTACATAAGGGTTACGCAACAGACTCGTTGTAATCAAGATTGTATAACTATTTCTTTGTTTCTACAGTACCAAGTACCAAGGGCCATCAAATAAGTAAGGCTTCTTACTTCAGGAATACTGAAATTGGCTTCTTTGTCATTACACAAGGACCACCCAGTATCAACACCAGAAATCATTATTACTCATTTTCTTAATAAGATGATGTTTCTAGAACAATCTTCATAGAAAATCTAAAGCTTCTTAAAAACCAAAAAGCAACACCCCTAACATTCAGAATCAAACTGCGACGAAACAACCCTTTTTCTTTCTCGAGCAGCGCAGGCGACAACCGCACACAACGATTTGTCCACCGTCTGAAGCAATATCGCGCGACAAGACCGATGTTGTGCTGCGGTCCCGCCCTTATAATAAAATATTTACTTCGAGTAGGGATGAGCTGGTTTGCAAATCGACTCTCCGTTTATTGAGTGACTTTTGCAGAGTTATAAAGACGCAGGTATTGGTTGATTTGAAATGTATTCCGGCTTGAAGCAACACTTATGTTATCTTTCGCCGTGTGAGTAAAGTTAATGGGGGTCCAATCCTCAAATTTCCTATCCTATCCTCAAATCTTAAAACCCTAATAACCCATAAGAGGCCGACACTTGTACTGTACTTCGTTGGTACTGCGAGTTTCCATGGGCGGCGCTGATTGCTTACCATTAGATAATCTGTCCGCTCGTATGTCGAACTATGATAGAAAAAAAATGGATTGTCCTCGATGTCGAATGACTTAAGCACTGTGTGGCGATATAAGTGAAGAATACCTTTCACCATTCCTTCTTTCAGCAGGGTACTGTAAAAGATGATTGTCGGTCAAATTTCTTACCAAGTATTAACACGTTGACCGCTAGAGGGGACAATTTGTGGGCCACGCTATCATATGATTTGACTTCGTAAAAAATCTCTGGACCAATTTTTGTAAGAAGCTTTAATTTCAAAATTGTTATTAATCCAAAGGCTATAGATTGACATCAGTTATTATTTCTAAAGTTTGGTGACTAAAATGAAAACGCAGCAGGTATCTAAAAATTTAAGTTTATGGTTATCTACAGGCACTGCTCATTGTAACACCACCACATGAGATAGTTTGGAATATGCGAAGAAAGAGGGGAAAAAGCGTCGGTTTCTGCGAGGTCGAGGTATCACTTCGGTCAAGCCGGCCCATTTATGTCGAGGCATGGTTCTTCCACACAAAACATAATCGGCGAAAAATATGCAACGGTCACACAGCTTCTTTGCCAAAGTCCCATCCCTATCAGAAAGGATTACACAGTATACCAGAGTTTACAAAAATACTTAGAAAAGTGTTTGTAACTTTTTCAATTCGTTTGCCAAGGCGTGAGTTTACGCATTTGATAGTCTTATGCCATAGAACATCAGGACAGTGGTTTGAAATGTTTAGTTCATATTCTGTATGGGTTTTGGAAATGATTACTAAGATTTCGGTGTGAGTATCCCCATAAAAAAAAAATTGATGATACTAGCTACTCTCACGCGGTTTCACTCGCTGCCCGGCTCCATTTAATCGTATCGTGATGTTTTATAGCCTATAGCACTCAGGAACATTGTAGCTATCTATCTGTGAAATAATTTTGGCAATCCGTCTAGCGCTTTCAAAGATTACCCCCTACATAAAATAAAGCAATTTGTGATGTAGAATAAGTGTAATTTCAGTGCTTATTATACTAAGTCCGCCTATGTAGTGTTTTGTGCATAAAGTCTCAAATAAATAAATAATTTCAAATAAATTTGGATAAGGATAGAAGGAAAATGAAAAACATTTCTATGATCTTTAGAATTTTTATACATAGCATTATGATTCATACCATATCAAGAAAGTCAGTCTGTCAGTCTTATCTATATAAGAAAGTAGATCGATTTTTTTTTATTCTTAGAACAATATTTAAGATAATTGTATCATTGTCTTACAAATCAAAACATGTAGATATGTGCTAGTAGTAGTTGAGATAACTCCGAGAGTTACTCGGAAATCTGTGGAATTATCTCAACAACTAGGCTACAAAACCCTTTTCTCCTATTTTT